GTCAGCAAAGGGGCGGAACCCAGGCTGATGGCCAAGCATGAATCCAAACAGGATCCCCAGCACTATTCCGCGTGTTCTGTGTCCCCGGGGAGGCATGTACTTTCTAAACACAAATTATACTGAAGGACTGTATTCCCTCTGGACAGGAAGCAAGCTTCACGAAGGCGGCGATCTTCTCTTTACTCGCCAGGTAGGGCCCGCTGTGCCCTACATGCTCAGCAGATATTAAGGTGACTGGCAGAACTTTATAAGCCACTCTGGAGCATGGCACCTTGCCAGTCACTGGGCACAGCTGTGTCCCTGAGCCCTGGCTGAGGCCTCAAGCAGGCAAAGCCACCTCGGACACGAGTTTGGGGACAGGCACTTCTTGGACATTACAGCTGCACTGAGCTACGTGCAGACCAGCGGAGGCCCTTTCTGGCCTTGACACTGCCCTCACTCAAGGCCTGTATGAGGGTGAAGTACTGTAGCAATGTCCTTGTCACTGGACAGGCCACCTTCCCAGTGGAACCGCTGGGACCCTCAGAGCTGGGTCTCTAGCTGACACACGCGTGCTGTGGCAGATGCCAGAGAGCAGCCCCTGCCCTGTGGAGGGCGCCTTCTATGAGAGCTGTGACAGCACTGTCACATGTCCCTCTGAGGGGAGCCTCCTCGGTGTCTATGTGACCTTCATGTCTTTCAATACAGCACAGCTCGGCGTGACAGTGCTGGGTCCCTCTGTGGTACAAAGCTCACCAGGCATGCTGTCTTGGGGGGTGTGGAGCCGGCGATGTCCTGGGCAGGGGTCACGATGTCTGCAGAGCAGCTCCGGGCTCTCAGGCGCGCTGAAGATCGCACTGCCCCTGTGAGCTAGACCAGCGAGGCTCAGTCAGAGCACGCGCCCAATGCAGTGCGCTCTGTCACCTGCGTGAGGGACAGCCACAGCCCGAGAAAATGCATGTCCCTCACAGCTCTGCCTGGTTCGGCGACAGGGTCCGCTCACCACCATCCTGGGGGCTAGGACAATCTGTCCCCTTTGCCTTGGATGCTGTAGGACATGAGGTCACTCCAGGGGACACAGAGTAAGGAGCACAGAGCCTTCCTCAAAGTCATCACACTGTCACACTGTTATGTGGGGTCCCAGTCCCCCACAGCAGGCAACATGACAAAGAGAAGCCCGCCGGCCTTATGGCTCCTCCCAAGTTATACTTCTGATCACGCAGTTCAGAACAAGTAGCTCCTGCCCCACGAGGCCTGCTGCCAGGGCACCGTGCACCTCTGTTACCCCGAATAAAGTCAGAGCATTTAAAACAACCTGCTTTAGGAATAATGTTAGGCTTGGAAAAGCAGCAGAAAATAGTACAGGGCAGCACCAAGAAATTAGCACCAGTACAGTACCGTCAACTGAACTGCAGGCTTTATTTGCATTTCATCAGATTTTGTGCAAATTCCTTTTTTCTGTTCCATAATTCAGGCTAGGATGCCTTGTTACCCTGAGCAGCTAATACACTTTAAAGCTCACCCTAAAATTTGAAGGTGAATAATAAAGAGAAGCGATGACTAAAACTTAGGAGTGAAGGGACAAACCCGAAGCTCAGAAGCTGCTGTCACAGCGGGCCAGGCCCCAGCCCTGGGCACCTGGAGGCTGCCAGATGGAGGCACACCACCCAACCACAGAGGAACCGCACAGAAAGGGAGAAGCAGGCAGCTTGGAAACCGCAAGGACCCCTCACTCTCCCACCCGACCCCGACCGGAGCCTGGAGTCCCAGTACTTGAGCCCCCGAGGGAGGCACAGAGCTGGAGAGCACGTTTTAAAGAGGGCAGAGGGGAGACATCTCTAAAAATTCTCAAAGTCAAAATTAAGGGCAGAACCTTGAAAGCAGCACCCCTTGCCCTTCAGGAAGAATCTGCTGGCTGCCTGAGGGGAAGCAGGCCAGGCTGCGAGCAGAACATTCAAACATCTTCAAAGTACTGGAAGAAAAAAACGCCCACCAAGAATCCTGTATTCAGCCAAGCTAGCCTTCAGAAGGGAAGGCAAAATAAGGCACTTCAAGATAAAAGCAGAGAGAATCTATTTTCAGCACTCCCCAAAGAAAGCCAGCACCAGGGAAATAACTCCTTGTGAAAGATACTTTACGTCTTCTTGGGGTACTGGGGATTGAACCCAGGGAGTGCTAAGCTACACCCCTGGCCATTTTTCTTTCCTAAATGACTTAAGCAACTGCACACAGCAACACCTGGAAGACAGGCGCGGAGAGACACTGTATTTGTCACAAAACGCAGCGGGGCCGGGCTAGCTGCGGGGGGCGCGGCGGGTCCCAGCTGGGTCTGCCCGCGGGAAGCGCAGCGACGCCACAGGTCTGACAAGACAGCGCAGAAGGCTGCTCGTGGGAAGAGCGGGGTCTCTCTGGAGTCAAGCCAGTACGACCCTGTCGCTCATTCAGATGTGTGTGATGAAATGGCCGAAAGCACAAAATACGGTGAAAAAAATCACTGAAACATGAAAGAGAAGTGTTCACTCGTGCAAAGCAAGAACGCACCAGAAGGCAAACGTGTAAGCAGGCCTCCGCGCGTCTGTCTGCGGGTCTCGCAGGGGAGGGGGCTCCATCGAGTCACCCACCGGAGGGCCCACTGCGAGTCCCAGGCCGGCCCTGACTGCACGGTGAGACCCGGCGGGGCTGTCAGGCTGGATGCTGGACAGGTCCAAGGCGCGGTCCGCAGGGCCCCAGGGAGGCGGGGTGGGCGCCCCTCGGCCTGGCCTTTCCCGCAGCTGCATCCCGGGCCCTGCAGCCTGGCCTCGGCCCCGCCGGCCTGGGGGAGGGTGGACCCCCAGCTGGCGCCCTGCACCTGGCGCCCTGCACCTGCCTGGCAGGGCCTGCCCCCCCCCGCTGCCCGGCCAGGCCCCCCCTTGAGGCGAGCTCCCCAAGGCCGCCCGGAGCGCGGCCTGCTCCTTTCCGCGCAGTCTGAGCGCCCATCCCAGGGGGCCGGGTTTACGCCCCCTTCTGGGGCGCGGTCCTCCACCCCCAGTCGGGCGAAGCCCGAGAGCCGCGCTCCCGGGGCGCGGCGGGGAGCCCCCTAGTGCTTCCCGTCCTCCGGTCTCCAGGCCGCCCCGCATCCCCGCGGGCTGCAACCCCTCACCTTCCGGTTCCTCATGAGTGTGAGCAGCGTCTCCGCCCCCGCGCCCAGACCTCAACAGAGCAACCACCCTGCTGCCTCAGCCCGCGGCTCCGCAGCGAGTGGCGTCATCGCGGGCCTGGCCAATCAACGCGCGCCGCTCGCAGCACGTGACCCAACAAAGTTTCTCTTTTGCGTGAGCAGGCGGGGCGCAGCTCCTCCCGGATTTAAAGTGGGGGCGGCGCGCCGGAACCGGAAATATGGGTACTGGCGTGCGCTGGCCTTGCTGGAGGCGAGGGAGGG